TACATGTCGGACCACCTCAGGGGGGTGTTGGACGCTAGCCTGGCGTCCGGACGCTTCCCTGAGCGCTGGAAATGCGGGAAGCTGGTCCTGCTGCAGAAGCCGGGACGGCCTGCCGAATCGGTCGCGGCCTATAGGCCTATCGTGTTGCTGGACGAGGCGGGCAAACTTTTTGAGAGGGTGCTCTCTGCCAGCATCGTCCGGCACCTTTGCGAGGTTGGCCCCGATCTGTCGGACGCCCAATTCGGTTTCCGAGAGGGGCGTTCGACGATCTTAGAGCCGTGAGCCGTCTTAGACCTTAGGGCCGTGACCGAGGAGGCCGTGAGCTGCGGCGGAGTGGTGTTGGCGGTGTCCTTGGACATCGCCAACGCATTCAATAGTCTGCCATTCAGCTGCATCAGGGAAGCGCTCTGCTACCACGGAGTGCCGGAGTACCTGAGGCGGCTGGTGGCAGACTATCTTGAGGAGCGAACCGTCATGTACGAGGACCGAGATGGCGTCTTGAGACGCAGGGCCATGTCGTGCGGTGTTCCGCAGGGGTCTGTCCTAGGACCACTCCTGTGGAACATTGGATACGACTGGGCCCTACGAGGGCGTCTCCCCCCCGGGCTGGGTGTACTCTGCTACGCAGATGACACTTTAGTCACGGCCCGGGGGGCTAACTTCCAGGAGGCGGCGCGCCTGGCCGCCACGGGAGTTTCCCTGGTGGTCGGGCGCATTGAGGCGTTGGGTTTGCGGGTGGCCCTGGATAAGACGGAGGCCCCTGGGCCATTTCATGGGCCCCGTCGTGGTCCACCCGCCGGCGCCTCAATCGAGGTCGGCTCGGTCCTCGTACCGGTCCGGGCCCAGATGAGGTACCTGGGTCTGGTCCTAGACGGTAGGTGGCTCTTCGACGAGCACTTCCGACAGCTTGGTCCGAAGCTGGTGGACACTGCCTCCGCCCTAGGGCGACTTTTGCCCAATTTGGGCGGGGCCAGTGTTCCCACGAGGCGGCTGTACGCGGGGGTTGTCCGGTCCATGGCGCTTTATGGTGCACCGGTGTGGGTGGCGGCTCTGACCGCCCCGAATAGGGCGCGCCTCTGGCGCCCCCAGAGGATATTGGCGGTCAGAGCCATACGCGGATACCGCACGGTGTCCACCGAGGCGGCTTGCGCCTTGGCCGGAACACCCCCGTGGGATTTGGAGGCGGAAGTGCTCGCCGAAGTTTATCGGCGAGTGGCTGACTTCCGGGCGGAGAGCGGATTTCGCCCTCAGCCCGAAGACGTGCGCGAGTGGCGCGAAGCCGCTCGCCGAGCCACTATGGTGAGATGGTCGTTCCGGCTGGAGACTCCACGCGCTGGCTTCGCTGCCGTGGAGGCTCTCCAGCCGGTCATCGCCGAGTGGGCAGGGCGGCAGCACGGGACCCTTTCCTTCCGGCTGACGCAGGTGCTTTCCGGGCACGCTAGGAGGGAATCGAGTCCCGCCTGCCACCACTGCGACTGCGGTGAGGATTCGGCCCAGCACACGCTGGCGGTTTGCCCCGCATGGGCGACGCAACGCCGGGCCCTCACTGCAGTCATCGGAGCAGATCTCTCGCTACCGGCCGTAATTCGCTCCATGGCCGGTAGCGACAGTTGTTTTACCGCGGTCGCAACCTTCTGCGAGGAGGTAATCTCGCAGAAGGAGGCGGCGGAGAAGGCCCGGGAGGACGACCTCCACTCGGACCTGATCCGCCGCCGGCGAACTGGGCGGCGGAGTTGCGATGGGTTCTCCCCTCCACCCGCATTAGTTGGCCAGCCGCGAGGGGGCGGCGTCCGCGTGTGCCGGACGCCGCCTAAAGAGAGGGTCCACTGAGACGGAGCCCGCGACAGGAGCGGGCCGGCGCTGGGAGGGGTCCAGAAGGAGATAGCTACCTGGACCCCTCCTAAACTGGAAGCGCAAAGAGGGCACACCGTGTGGTTTTAGTCGGTTCGAGTCCGACACACCGCCCCGCCGAACGAGACCCCCGGCGGGGTGACGGTCCGAGGGGATTTCCACACGTAAAAAAAAAAAAAAAAAAAAAAAAAAAAAAAAAAAAAAAAAAAAAAGAATAGTGGCGATTAAGGTTATATCCTCTGTACTGTTGGTGAATCATTTGGGTGAGGTTAGGTTAGAACTGTGCCCAGCGAAAGAAATTTTTGATGTTTAGAATTATAATTAAGTCGCACTTTTTATTATTCGATCTATTGAAACTCGGTATTCTGAGCATAGTAATTAAACCGTTAGGAATATTGAAATTTTTGAATTATAAAAATAGGATTAATGATCGGAGTTGATCGGAATCGGAGTTGTTGTTTTAGGAATTTTGAACCATTCGCTATTATGAAAATCGATATTTTGAAATTCGTATTTGTGACTGACGGAATAATAGTGTACTCCGGGCTGTTATGCAAGTGGACTGATAAACTTAGAATACGTTAGGCGTTATAACACTAGTTATAAAAGCTGGCAATCTCAGGTGTGTGGTTAAGCTTTTCCAAAACACATCCCGAAACCCTAAAAAAGATGTGCCTGATAGTTGGTTTCATTCCATTAATAATAATTACCCCACACATCTCATAAACAGCTGTCTGATTCCAAACTAGGCAGAACCTGTTCTATTGTAACCAGCCTGCTTTTAAACATATTTATATAGTTTTAGATACATACATATCATAGCTAAGTTACACCTCGACACATAACAAATGATCATCTTCATCATTAAATACTTTGACCTGGGTGGGAATCGAACCGCCGACCTCTCGCTTAGAAGTCAGGATCACTGACTACAAGATCAAAAGGCCCACCTAAATAATTATAATTAAATTGATTAGATTTTGTCGGCATCTTGAATTTAAATATAGTCGTACCGGAAAAGTGATCGGTGCTAAAGCTATGAAGCGCGAAAGCTACCTAATAATTAACAAACAAAAAAGTAATTACAACAACTTTCTTCACGTTTTTTACACCATAAAACTTCGTGGGTGGAGACTATAAAATGGAAGTTGACAGGATTTATGATACCCATTTTGATGGATCATTATTTAGTTATAAAAGTTATTGCATATTTAGTCAACTTTTTAAAATTTCCATCAGTCAATATAAAAGTAATTACAAAACCGTTATTTAAATAATTTTTTAGTACCCACATCGGACACGGTTATTATTTATTACACAAACATAGATATATATTAAAATAGACCAGAAAATTAGATCCTGTTAGTCTACTATAATAAAACACGATGATATGTTTGTTTTGAAATAAAAGAATATTTAAAATGGTTTATCTGTTGTAATCAGAGAATAGTTGGTCCGTTATGGTAAGGCTTTCTACTTTCTTTACAGCATCTATTAAATCTAAAATTTATAATAGTCTTTGTAGAAAAGTAAAATTATAAATTTTTAGATAGATGGTATTTTAATCTAGATATGCAGATGAAAACGTGAATTACATTAAAAGGAGCTCTATATGCCAATAGTTGCCTTAATTTCAACCTCAGGACAATTAATATTATTATACTTTTCAAAGAAATTGTATCATTCTAAGTCAAAGTCAAATATCTCTATTTCATAAAATTCTTTTGAAATTATTTGAAATCGTCTCCTATTTAGACTCAGTCATAAGTTGATTTATATATATATTTACACACACACAATGGAAACAAACTGTTTTATCAAATATTTAGCAAAATTAATTTATGTATACCCATAGAAAAACTATTTTTTTTTGTGGAAGAGGGGGGCAGTCAAGCAGACGGATCACCTGATGGAAAGTGGCTACCGCCGCCCATAAACGCGTGCAACTCAGGAGTCACAAACGCGTTGTATACCTGTGCCGATTCAGAACTGCCCGTTTCCAACCGGTTGAGCTTTTGTGAGAAGACAGAGCAAATACACATTAGCTGGAATCTTTTGTAGAAAAATTGTATTCTAACTGTTATTAGTCTATGGTCATAAAGCGTTACTCTAACCTGTAACTAATTGCTTTCAATGAAAGTGTACGATATTCATAGCAACGAGGCTATATTTAGCGGGTTTTGATGAAAAAGTAAGACACGTTAATTGAGTTCTTACATATTCACGTCTGCATTGATCATACTTTGCATTGGTTTTTTGTTTAAAAAAGGTTTTTGTTTTATCGGTTGCAACGCATTCCAAGAAGGTTTTTTCATCTCAATTCTTAATTTCGAGGCCAGTGTTAAAGTAGTAATGACGCCGTTACATTATGTTTTTATTTGCAAAGGTTAGGAGATAATTTGGCGATTTGAAACACCCAAACAACCGATCTTATTTTATATGGTTTGTAGTAATAAGCGAAGTAATTCATGAGAAAGCTTTAAATAGTTAAAAAAACATTAGAAAGTTTAAAGATTCAGTATCAGAAATTATTTTTTGTTATTTCGGGACTTAAAAAGTTGTTGAAAGCGCTAATTGTTAACTCCAAAATAATTTAAACTAAATGATCTTCAACTCAGTATTTCACTACTTAAGATCACTTTCGTGGTCTCGAAGCGCGCCTTTCAAAACCTCACAATAGGATATTTTCGCAAACAATGAATCACTTTAGAGAGTTGTTATTTTTGACTATAGTTAACTTTCATTTAAATAAATTTGAAATGGCATAATTTAGGCAAATTACAAAAAAGTCCGGCCATTATGCATTGAGTCATTTTTGGCACTCTTAAACTGACACAAGAAGCTTAAACCCAGTTTATAAGTAAACACACGCTCGTATATAAAAGCGAAAGTAGTTTATCTGCTTTCAATAAGTACGACAACTTGAACCCATAACTAACCACTCACAATAAACATAACATATCAAATGTATCTATTTATTGCCACAAGACACAAAATTGATGTAAATCTATCGAAAGAACAACAATCCGAGTTTATATTTAGTCATTGTATTACGTTCTAGCGTTTAATACGTGCGATGCATTTAAATTGTCACTTATACACTGACAAATATATTAGAAACTATTTTGAATATTGCTTTAAATACTCACCGTTGGTTGGTATAGTCCGTCCAGTTTGTAGATTTGAGTTTGTTGGAGCTGCAGCGGTGAAATAAAGTACGGTGACGAAGATAAATAATACTGTGGTAGTTAGGGCTCGCATCGTGGCGCGTGTGTAATGTATACTGCGCAGGCGACGCGACGTTCTGTCATTGAGCGCACGCAGAGCGCTATTCTGTAACTTTTTATTTTGTTTGTTTTGGTAGGAGGTGACACATACGTTTACTCAGTACGCCTTTAGTCAGCAGCACCTTTTCTCGGTATTGTCCTTGAAATAATTTCTTACGGTCGTATTGTAGATAAATACAATAGTTGTTCACTGGCTATCGCCTGGTCGAACCGGTCGAACCCATTGACTAATTTAAATAGTGCGTGCTAAAACGGTTTCATTTTACACGTTTTTATTCCTTTTTTACGAACACTCTCTCACTCCCACACATTGCAGGAAGGTGAAAGGAAAGATGTTACACATCAATCAAATTATCGTTTCGTACGGGAGCTTCGAACCTGACTGGTTAGGGAGCGGACTTGAACGATGCGTCACTATTTTTTAACGCGAATGGACTATAGCTAATTGCCTTGTTTATCATCCGCCATTTAGCAAAGAATTGAGGAATCTAGAAATGTCTTTTAACCTGAAATTAAAATCATTTCTTACGAAATTTTGTGTTATATTTTATTATTATTATTTATTTACTTATTCCTGTCATCTCATAATCGAGGATACGCACAGTAAAATAATATAGAGAAAAAACAATTACAATATCAATTTCTTTATGTCTATAAGCAAATGGTGCAGAATAACACTATTTTAATTACATAACTTAAGTGAACGGGAGGTGCGATTTCTAAGCTGCGTTACTAAGTTTTAAGTTTAGGCTACATGTTTATGTATAAACAGCAATAGTTTAGCAACAAGGAAAATGATCTGGCATTACTCCTTAGTCCGTCCTCGTTACGTCCTCGTTAATGCATACGGTATTCAAGTGTGTACCAGGAATTTCCTTTCTAGGTTACACCAGATTCCCCGGCTACTGGGAGACATTGAGCGTACGGTTTAAGTCAGTTCGACTCCAACATAATCACCACACCTTTCGGCATATTATTCTTTGATTATAAGACAATGTAACAAAGAACATATTTATAAAAGATAAAGATATAACATTAAGAAAGCTATAAGTGTAATTATGATGATCTATAGAATGTTATTTTTCCAGAAATCAGAAAATTTGCTACCGTCTATCTGATTTAGATACATTGGATGCAATAGAACATAAATAAGCATAAATAAATTACATCAACAAAGTAACCACCGTGTTGGATTATGTTATCATTATGATTATTCATCATTTTAATATTGGCAAATCGCTAAGCTAAACAATTTCGCTTGTTAATGTAATAACTTCTTCTCAAGCGTTACACAACTTCCAGTCAAATTTTTTTGTGACATTTGACACAGGCACATAGTTATTATTTGCTTGGTCTTACTCTTTATACGTGTCTATTTACATATTTTTTATCAGCCTTAAATAGACCACTGATGAATAAAGGCGTCTCGTTAAAAAGGACGTTTTGGCCTACTATACCATGCTGGTCAGACGGGTTGGTATTAGTAATAGGCATTAATGCTAATAAAATTTAATTCAATTAACTGCGAATTCTTATGTCTTAGCATGTTAATTGCTGATGCTAATATTGCTATTTCGTACGAAGAGAGCAAATAAAAAAATTTCGTAATCACTAAGTGCTAATTTAACATAATTAACTTATTTTTTAAATATTTCAACTCATCGCGATTTTTGCGATCAAAAGTGGCTGCTATTTTCTTATCTGCAACATTATTATAATTAATCACTAAACTCTATCTATTACCAAAATACCTATTTACAACGCACACGTCACACTCTTCAAAACTTAAATTACCTATACTTACTCTACAATTAAAGGTCTTATTAACAAATAATATATAGGTACCAATTCTATGAACAACTTTCAAAAATTTAACAAAACACTACGACAAAACAAAGTCATTCAAAACAATACCCAATCTTACCCGGCCACTTGCTAATACTATGTCGTAATAAGCAAAATAAAATATTCAGAAATTAAAAAATCATTGAATGATATTAAAATAATAACATATTTGTGCAATAAAGAATTATAAATACGTGCATTTCTTTTAAAATAGACAATAAAATCCTTTGCACTCAGAAATAGCATCAATCGCGTCGCGCTCGGTCACTGTACCGAGCGAAATAGGTGCTTAAACATTTCAGCAGACGGTTCATATTCTTTATTCTAGCAATTTAGCATTAGCAGTTGTATTAATATTTTAACAATATGATTTATTAAGTTAAATTTAGTCTTCCCGATGATGCGAATGAGAAAGCACGCGCTATATGAATGTGAAGCCTTAACGAATGAATCGATGATGAGTGTGAAGACTAATTGTTCCATCACTAGTTGGCATAGGGTTTGTTTCTAGTTTTCATTAGCAGTGCTGTTGCGCTGCGTAGTTTGCTCCCTTAGACGGCTCTTACGACGCCCACGTATAATTAATATAATATATGCTAAATTTTGCACAGCTTCACTGGCGTGCATGAGAGAAATTTCGTTTTCTGGATAATCAAGTCTTAGGTCACAGGTCTTCTGTCAACCTCATAACGTGGATTTGCATGCATTATAGTTATAAATTATTGTTCTTTAGTAATTTCATTGCACTGAAAGACTGATTACAATACAATAAGAGTAACTTACATATACATATGTATTTACTTTTGTATGTATATCAGGTGATATTATCGTAAAAATAAAATGGTTTCAGTACTAAACTGTTTTGTAAATTCAAAGGATTAGCGTTTATTATCACTGACTGTACATTTTAAACAAAATAGTTATTTAGTATGTGAAAATTAATGAGCCAATTAAAAATTTAATACATCACTGTCTAACTCCGGAGATATACTCGTATAAATCATTTTACTTTCGTAAATTACAATTTATAGCAGCAATAAGATTAAAATAACATATTAAAAAAACTAGAGTAGACACTGTAATGACAAACCAATTTTCTTGTCATGGTATAGCATAATATACCCCCCCCCCCACTTCCACCCCCCAGAATCATGAGAATGGCACGGCAACCAGCATAGTTATAAACAAATTAATAGCGCAACTGATGTGTGTTGAAACTAATACATGCTCCACTGGCATTTTGTTATAACTATATACGATTCGCATATGTACAAAATCAGTGTGGTGACAGATTAAATACAGAATGTCACCAGCCCTATTCATCCCATGGGTGTCGTAAGAGCCGACTAAGAGAGCAAACTACGCATTACAACAGCACTGCGAAAAGAAGGAAAACTTGAGACAAACCCTATACCAAACCGTCTAGCCAGCGTGGTATAGTGGGCCAAAACCTTTTTTTTAAGGAGAGGCCTTTTTTAATTTTTATTACGTGGGGAATTGGTTGGTGGAGGAATCAGACCGACTAAAACCACTCAGTGTGCCACTCTGCGCCTGTAATAATAGGAGAGATCTGGGAACTGCTATTGTTAAGACATCCGGACCCCTCCTAGCGCCTGCCCACAATGGCGCGGGCACCATATTCGGGTACATTCTCCATTTAGCCTACATCCACCTCCTCGACTGGCCGTTATGGCGGGTAGAGGGGAAACCCGTCCTTTCCACCCGCGGCCACACTCAGAATTGGGTCTGAGTGGAAGTTTTCCTCTCGGGCCCTCTCCGCCGCCTTCTTCTTGCAAAGTAGAGACCTATGTCCACCAGTCAACTCTGAAAGGCTGATGCTGATGACGATGATTTAATTGAAATGAAATAAAATATTAAGTTTTTTAATTTCTGTGTAATAAAATAGGTCCATAAACAGTGAGCAGGGTATAAAAAACAGCTGAACTCTATATTTAAATCTTGGCCATATTGATCAATTTTTTTTTATTTTTTTTTTTCTACCACATTCACACAACGCCATCTAGTCCCAAACTAAGCAGAGCTTGTACTATGGGTACTAGACAACTGATATAAATACATATATACTTTTTTTTATACATACTTATTATAGATAGAAACACCCAGACCAAATCAAACATTAAATGTTCATGCACACAAATGCTTGACTTGAGCGGGAATCGAACCCGCGACCTTTAGAATAGCAGTCTGCTACACAAACCACTACCATTTCTTTTTCCAGGAAGGACGGCCGAGTCAGTCAGTCTCGAGAGAAGGTTGTAATTATAGTGAGGAGAAAGAGAAGTAAATGGAACAATGATATGGTCTAATACTTGGGCCACTTTTGATTATAAGTCAATGACTTTTCTGTAAAGCAATATTGTTATTTATGATTATGGCTATAACTTAAACCTGTATTAAAAACTAGTTCTGAAGATTTATACATCGTTAAATAAAATTTTATTTTATAGATGTTTTGTGATTTCAAAAACAATAATTGTTTTCTTAAAATCAAACAGTTATGATATGTTTATAACTGAGTAGTGTCAGTATTATTTTTGCACTAATATATGAATACGTTAAAAAAAATTGCAGACAAAAATAGATCTCTCACTTATCTGTGTATATGTATATCATCAACAATATTTAATAGTCCACAGCTCTACATGGACTCTCCTTAGAAAGGAGGATATATTTCAATATTTCCTTCTCTTTGTAGTGCTATTGTCCTGCATACTTTGCTCCCTTAGTCGGCTTAACGACACCCATGTTATCAATAGGGGTTGTGACACTCCGCATACGTGTGGTGACGGATTCTCAATCCGTCACCACACGTATAATATAAATAAATGTATATTATGAATAAACTAGACTTAAAGAAAGGGATTAGCTATTTAAAACTTATGTACAGATGTTCCGCACATATCATCCAAGGTTTTTATACCAGTCAAAGGTGAAGCTTGCAAAGAACGAGATTCAAAGACTTAATGATCAATGATATATAAACATACTTCAACTTCCTCACGAACTATTCGAAGTAATAGCCATTGATTTCAATTCACAACCCCCCCTGTATAATCAATATTCATTTTACCCTTGTTTAACCATTTTATTCCTTTTAATATAGTCTAT